AAAAGCAACTATGAATAAAAAATAAAGTTCGTCATCGATGGAATGTGAGTTTTCCTTTACTTTCATGACTGAATTATTTTCGCGCCCTTCCTTTCATGAAGCCGATGCTGAGGTGCTGATCTGCTTTTCTATGCCATCAGCCAGAAGTGCCTTATTTCAAAAGCAAAACGTCTACACATATAGCAAGCGTAGCATGTACTCTCCTGTTTCCTTCCCACGGAGTGGCACTCATATACTGATTTCAGAAGGAAAAGGGGCGAATGACCCTTACTGGGGACCCATTGGTTTTGAATTCGATGCCCTATCGACTGAGCTGACTGACTTTGGAAGCTGTGTAGCAGCGTATGGTAAATTCCTCGCTTAAGGTAATTCATGAATAAAACAGACTGCCCCCAAGCGGAATCGAACCCCGGATTTCGAAGCAGACCCTTTAGACAGTGTCATCAAGCCACATGCGAATAATAATAGCGGGTCTGCATATTGAGAGTTGTCACAATTCACCTGTATACCAACCTGATATTGCAGCTTTTGGCAATGGACTATAAGATCACTGTGCAGCTGTACGATGCAAATGCAGCATACCATCGAAAAACTGCATGACATCGACGAGAGACAAGTCGATATCTCAGACCGAGACACTATAACTGGTCGAATAAGACGTGGATTCGCATTCATTAAGCCCATTTTGCTTACTGCATTAATGGCAAAATCAGCTACTTTTCACATAGCTGGAATTTATTATCGAAGAAATTTTTTTCACAGCTTCCAAAATTCCAATTCTTCCCTTCCTATTCGTTTCTGATCTGCTCTTAACTACCGTATTTTAAAAATTCCCTCTCCTTTGTGCTTCTGTACAGCCTTTACACATTTTTTACTCTACTGTTCTTATTGCTGTGATGCTGATAAACAGGAACATCGTATTGGGATTTCAAATCTTTGTTTTAATAAATATTGTAGCATTTTATTTTTAACCATTCTATCCTTTATTATCTTATTCTATTTTTACTCAATTACTTCAGATATTTCATAAGAAAATGTGGCTATGTGCGTCCGTTGATGGTTAAAACTCCAAAAGCACAAACAGAAACAGCGTGAGTAAATTCGATTTTTACCTCTTCCGTTCGCACGATTTCTCGGTTAGCAACTTCGGTATCAATCGCAAGCATAAAACGACAATAAAACTCGCAAAGCTCTGAATCTACGCAGTCGAATCCAGAGAGAAAGCGTTTGAAGAACAAATCCCTGATAAAATCCATCCACCTGTGAGAAAAAAAACAACAAGCAAATCACAATTAATGAATCCCGCTGACAAATGAGGTGGAAAGGCGATGTTAAAATACCTTGATGGAAAGTCGATGACAAACGCTAGTGCATAAATTTGAGCGAACTTGTTTTTCACGTAGGAAGGATAACCAGCGAAGTTTCGGACATTTGTCAAGCAGCGCTCCAGGAACGAATGGATCAGTTCTAGATCTTGCGGCGCAGCGAATGAATACCTAAAAACAACTAGAAAATACTAGATTGGAAAAGAGCCAAAAGACAAAAAACCAAAAGCTCATTCTTGATCGATACCTTCTTCAAGAACAACCTCGGTGAATGAGCTTTATTTGAATAATTATCGTCAACGTCGTATTTGACCTCTGCTTCATCGCCCTCCTCCACGACATAACAACCATAATCATCGACATAACCATCACTGGCGTAGTAGAACTAGTGATAGCTTAGGAACCGTTCGTTCAGCTCACTTGCTGAGTTGAAGAAAGAAAGGTTCCGCACTAACAACAGGTTTCGCTCAGTTTCTTCTATGTGATTCGCTGACCACTCACCATTTCTAGTCAACTAGTTCTAACATGCCAGTTGAAAATCCAGCTAGATTTGGTTTGCTGCCTGTAAACCAAATAATTAATAGTATAATATAAGCTGCCACTATCGCAACTGGTGCGCCGACAAAACGGCGCAAAACTGAACTGAAAAACAATAGTGTATTGTAACTGAGTAACTTCAACAAATCTTATAAAGCATAAAAAGCAGTCTAAATGTTAACGTTGTGAGCGAAGTAATCGCCAAATGACACTGTTCCAAATTTTGGAGTTAAAACATGCAAACGTCGATTTAAACGAATGTATTCTGATTTGGATGCTTCTCGATGCCGGAATCCCGAACGATATCTCATAATCTTCAATTCGTAGTGAGCTTGCTCTTGACGGAAGTGTTTAACAAGTTTGTAAACCGACGGATGATGACAATCGACGGTTCTATTGGAAGGATCGATATCAGGCTTCGACTGAGTTGTTCATGCGTGGGAGGTTGTCGACTACATGATCACGAACGTTCCACAACTGCAAGGCAAACCTTGGATTTGTGCATCTATATCTTATTTGCCTGCCGATATAAGTATCTTTCCAGTAGTCGACTAAAGGTGCCAGAACAAGTGGAAAGCTCTCAACTAACTTGTCGAATGCAACCGAAATACTAGCAACTAGAGTGAAGGCTAAGGTTTACGCAGCTGCACGTATATGCGAAAATTTTCATCTTCACAGTAGGACACTGCAAGGTTAAGGTCTTGAACCTTGCGCCACATAGTCTGGCCGAGACGGAAAAGACGTGTATCCGGGAAGACAATCGCGCAGACATTCTGACTTGCTTTCTCGTAGTCCGACATTATACTTGACAGATTCAGCGCCGGCTTAATTTCCTTCAGCTTACGAAAAATATGCTTGTAACTCTCTTCTGTTTTGTCCGGCATCATGACGTAGACCAGAGAATAGGCAGAACCATCGACCAACACATGAATGGAAAAGACCTGGAAGATGAGAGGTGGCGCCACTTTGAAAGTTCCAGCGATGAACCAATGGGCGTGCTCTTGAAGGAGATCCAGGTTGGCCATGGTTGCAAAAATCAAAATTCAGTGTTCGTTGTCTGCGCCTGAATCGAAAATGAGAAATGTTCCTTTCTTGTTGTTTGTAAAATGGATTCTGGAATGATGACATCAGCGAGAGAATTCAATGGATCGCACAGAGGATCTCGTTGCTTCCCTTTTGCGCTGAATAGATCTCTGAGAGGCGGTGTAGTCAGGTAGAAGACCGGCTACCACCAACGGAACTACCGTTCTGCTTTGCTGAATTTTTCCTTCGAGGCTTTTCAACGGTTGTCAGAGCTTTGCGTCGAATTTCAGCCACAACTTTGGTGGCGTCGTTGCGATCGGAATTTGATGCATGATTGTGGTCTGTAACACCAACCACAACATCAGTTTCATATACGACCAGGACAATCGTACTTTGCACATCTCCAAGAGGTGCTGCCATCAGCCATAACTTTGTCCTTTCATAGCCTGAATCCTTCATACAAAAGATGCTCCGTCTATTTCTACGATGCCATTTTCTCCATGGTATTTTTACGAAACTTAAAAAATGGTTTGATTTGTGTCCTATACAAAATGTTTGTAGACACTGAGCAAATAACTTTCGGAAAGTCTTCTTTGTAATTGGGCCTTACTTACATTTCAGGCGGCGAGTCTATGGTAGAACTCAGCTTATCACGTCGGGAGGCACTTTTTGATCGCAAACAATCACTAGACGGGAATCATAATCTTTGTACTATGCCATTTTGTCTTGCGCCGTTTTGTTACGGAGCCATGGCAGCCATTTCATGGCGGTGGGGCTTCCGTGCTTCACCGCGGTGTGTACCTCGATAAATCTCGAAGCTAAGCTAGTGAACGCCTTGGATGCTGGTAGGGTAGTTCATGCTGTACAGGTTTGACGCGAGATAACAGGCTAATAACGATCCGAAGAGACTGTAAGACCCCTTGTCTTCCATGCTGGAATATTAAATGAATAAGAAATCATTCATATACTGTATTGATCATTGTGCAGGATAAACTGGGCCACAGCGCAGATTTAGGGGAAAGGCCTGTGTCGTCAAGTCTGTTGCAGCGTACTGTGGGGCAATCAGAGAAGGAAAGCGGCGGGCAATTGTCAAAAAACTGACTCTGTGATGTCGCACCTTCACGTATGGCTAACGCAACGAGGAAAAATACACTCAATAAAGATATAGCTGATCTCTTCGTGAAGGAGCGTTTTCCAAAGTTTTAAAGACATATGCAAAACCCTTCTCCAGATAAAATTGAGTGAATAAATGAATACTAAGTTCATCAGAGTATATCTAATAGCCACAAAGTCCGAAAACGAAAAGATTCGCTAATATCAAAGAATGCATTTCATCTGGAACAAGATGGGTCTCGGAACAACAGTAACTGAACAAAGACAGACGAATCAAGTCAAAGTTGATTCTTTAACCACTGGTTTCTATGAGAAAGCGAGAGAATCATAGGAGATCAAGAACGAAGTTTCACGGAAAATAAGATAGGAAACGATTCATAGTAGCAATACACACTGACAGTGCAATGGAAAAAGCCAAACTCTCCCAGACGAGCGAACTTGAAACCTGGAAATAGGAACATCAGCAAGGAATGAAGAAGTTGTAGATATGGCGCTGGCTAACCAGAAAGTTACAATGACGAAAGACAGGCGCGATGAACAAACAGAGATCAAAATTCCAAATCACCTTAATCGCTTCAAAATAAAAATGGAAGGAATGCCGCTCTATTGGTGTCCACAAATCCCAAGATCATACATAACTGCACGTCGATGAAAATCGTGAAAAACCAGTGGATAAAATGCTGGCAAAAAATGGTCAGAAAGTCAGTTTCGAAGAAATGTTACTTGGTCCATACAGCTGCACTTGAAGTTTGTACCATTCTTGAACTGCATAAAACGACAGCAAAGAACAGGCAACTATAGCTTAATAATGTGAAATAACAAGGTGGTTAGAATAGCAGATAAAAGAACTGCGTAAAGAGATTTAGACCTTAACCATCTAACTGAAAGATTCCACAAGTACAAATAGAAACATGCGCTAAAAACCAAAAAGTACTGTAAGAACTTGAAAACGCGAATGTCCCAGAAGGGAGACTTGACTTTTTTCAATAATGTAAGGAATCAAAGCCATTATCGCCACTAACATGAGACCAGAATTAGGACCACTGTACCATAAACGAACTGCAGTCTCCGGTTTATGCAAACGTCTCATGCATAAACAATAAACAAACAAATCTTCAATTAACGAAATAATGCAAAGCAAGTTACGCATTCTCAACCCTGTCTTAATACATGCCAAATTAGAAATAAACAACATACTTTTTCTTTAGAAAAGATTCAATGACTTGCAGGCAAAAAAACCGTATCGTTTCGCCTCTAAAATGAAAGTTTAAATTAAATACAAAATTTATTACAGTAACTTCTAATTTTATTTCT